TCGCTTAACCCTTTATATCTCAATATTTTTCAATTGTACAAAAATAGGTAGACTTTGACCACTGATAGTTTACTGCATTATAACTTACCTTTCCTTTATTTTACTGTATTTTTTAAACTACAGCAAAAATAAAAAGTGATGTTAACACAGTTTTGACCAGGAAAACAAGCATTTAGACCATAGTACAATAGCTGGTCGCGAAGACTTACGAGAAAATTGCACATGGCTACAAGTACTGAGTTAATATTAAGTTTGAACCTTTCTGTTCGCTGTTCACATTTGGAAGGTTCATTATTATTATTATTTTTTGTAATGTACTTTCTGTTTTTTTTTTTATTATTTAATCATTTAAATTAGGGACCAATATTAACGAAAAATACACAATTGCGAACACATTTAAATTAAGCATACAACTAAACATCACTTACACACACACACACACACCTATACAAACTTGTCCCTACTAAAACAAAAAAATAAAAAAATATTAACAAATAAAAACAACAAACAGCGCGCGCATACATACACGAAAACACGAAATTTAGTGAGCAAAAACAAAAACATTCTCTAAATCAACAGAACTCATTGCAGAAAGGTGCACTGCCTTATCGGGTGCGTGCACACAGTTATCGACCACCACAACATCATTTTCACTTCCACCTCAGTCCTATGAAGTGGACGCACCGCAGCCGCTTGTCGATCGCAAGCCATCCATATCTCTATTAAGATGGAACAGTAGTGTTAGAGTACGGAATGAACAGGTTGCCACGGTGCTATCGAATGCAGCTGCAACAACGACGGCCCGCTTTCAAGCTGCCAGGCAAGGTTTGAATTTCCGTTTCCATTTCCATTTTCGTTTAATACGACTGACTAAAATAAAAAAAGTAAAAAAATATAAAATTAAACATTATTAAATATGAGTAAACTTTTTTTTTTAAATTAATTAAAATCGCAGTAATTTAAGTACACTTTTTCTTAATTACCAAAAGCCATTGCTGCAAAACTAATTCCACAGCATAGTTGTTACAGAATCAAAAATATTAAAAATCGTTTGTGTGTGTTGCGTTACGCTAAAATAATTTGCCTACACTTTCCCCACTTCCCACCAATGCTATCTCCCAACGCTCAAGCTTCCTTTCCCATTCATTTTCCTCCCCACTTTTTCCCATGCCTAACACTGCAGCGAAAGTAAGAAAGTAAAATAGCGAAGATTATTTCACACAGGGGAACAATGGCCGTCAAAAGGACGATGGAGAGAAACTTTATATTCTTGCGAAGTAAAGTGGTTTCTTTCGTTATTACTGATTAATTCTGAAGAATGTGTAAAATGGCCTTGGCCTTAATGCTTTTTCACTGAATGACCTTGAAAAATAAATTGAGAGTTTTTATGGTGAAAGTTTGACATCGAATTATGCAAATGAAGGAATATATTTTCTCTATGTCGAAACAACGAAGTACATACTTACGTTTCTTGATAATGTGGTTTACGGTCTATAACTCTGCGATGTGTTGCTTTGTCGATTTACTGCTTTTAAAGTATAAATTTTTGGAATCACATTTTATGCTTTCGAAAAATAAGCATTAATTAATTTTTCCCCTGTGCTGTTTAATCAAACTAACTTTATAAAATGGCATAATATTTAACTGCTTAATATTATTATTAATTCAATACTGCAGTAGTATTAAAAAAATGCAAATGGTTTTCCGAAACCAGCAACGCTAAAGGAGTAAGAACACAAGAGTATCAATACTACAATCTTTTTTAAAAGAGAAAGTTTGATTTTTCAATCAAATTGGAATTTTTTTTGTATCTATGCTGGTAGTGTACAGACCATTAACGTGGTATAGATAACCAGGCGTAGTGAATACTTGCGCGTGAGACGAGCTTGCAAGGTGGTTACTGAACTGGGCTCAGTTGAGTCTGCGCATGTTGCAGGCTTCCCCTGTACTCGTGTAAAAACCAACTCAAATTTATTTTCATTGAATTTACCTTCAAACGATGGGCGAAGGAACGAACCTACTTCGTTACTAAGCAAATCTAGTCAAGTATCAACGATAAAAGATCTAAAACTCTCATACGAATTGATCGCCCTATTATTAGCGCAGTAGTCGGTATCATTAAAGGGCACTGCATCGTAAGCGAATGGATTAGAAACGAGCTGGAGAGTTCAGATCACTATCTTTTCCATTGCCTCATTCTGGCAGGGTTACGATCTATAATCTTTAATAAATATCACTTTCAGTGTTAAACGGATCTCAACTTCGCGATTTTAAGGTAATACGGGGGTTCCATCACGCGAAAAACTGAAGGAAAGGAACAATTGAGAAAGCTGTTTGCAACTTCGCGTCCTATAAATCACCTGGGCTCGATAGCATCCTACCTTTCAGAAAACATTGGGCCTAATTATTCCAAGATTAAAAGAGCAGGCTCGCCTGTATATGCCATAGTAAAGGACGCAGGTAGGAGAAGTAAATCTTCGAACTCCAAACCACAGGATTTCAGGCCGATAAGCCTCTCGTCTTTTTTAGTGAAGTCACTGTAGCACATAAAGAACAATCATATCAGTGAAATAGCGGGCCCGAACCTTTCGGTTGCCCAACGCGCATGCAACAAGGGAAACGGTGTGGATACGGCCTTACACAGCCTTATCTTTGACATCGAAAAACATGGCTTCACAAGTAATATGTATTATATATCTGTACCGCAAAGCCGCTACGGCCTTATATTTATGCAGCAGGGGGCCTGCTCTGTATTGAGATTAGAAGAGCAAATCATTTGGATTCGAATATTTGGCACTATATGTTTGTATTAGTCCGTGTCGTCCTTCGAATCGAATTGAGTATCAATCGCAAAACAGAGTATCCCCCAGGTCTATTCTAAAAAATGGACGTCTGGTGCCCAACATTTTAGCGTGGATATAAATACATTGCGGTGGTAAGACAAATTTTTTCCTATTGGAGCATTGAAGTGCTCAACATGCTACTAAACTTTATAACAACGGGCCGTGAGTCCAAGTGAAACCCCCAGGGGATAGCCGTTCAACCTAAGTATCCTAACGTACAGAAAGCACCGTGCGTTAAAGCGGTGGTAATAGTGAGAACTTACGCTTCGTATGCTGTAAAATTCGGAGAACTGGATCTATGTATTTTTATTATTGTAAGAATACTCTCTCTTTGCTCACCACTAGCAGACAAGGGAGTCATTCTCGCCTGGATCCGACTGCAATGCGGTATTGATTTTATCTGGGACAGAAAAAGTAAAGTGAGAAAATCAGTTCATCTGCCAGTGTCGCAAAATAATTGAATTTTTTGCTACCACGAGTGCTTCGCCATCTTGTAGTTAAAGTATGTGCAACTATAGTGAAGAATATCGTCTGGCTGCAGAGTAGAAAAACACACTTCGGACGTTTATGGCCTCCAGAGAACGACAAATATGTTAGCGAAGCCCAGTCTACGAGAATCGTCGGCAGAAAAGCCTGACATCTTTATGATTTCTGGCCGATATCGGTCATAGAAGCTCGTAGAGAGGTTAACAGGAAGTCTAACAGATACATCGTGGGAAATTCTGACTTAATTACCGATGATTCTGGCGGATATCTAACAGATGTCTGACCAAAAAATCATGGGAAATAATAATTAAACGTGTCTGTCCGAAATTGGAGATAATTCGATCAGACATGTCGGAAAAGGAAATAAATAAACTTCTTCAGACAATTCGCCCAAAAATCTGTACGAAACCTGTACGAATTGTCTAAATAGTCAACTTTTTATTCAGACATTTGTGCGACTTTTCTGATATCTGAAATTGTCTGGCAATTGTACTAGCTGGGTCAACGGAGCTTTTAACTCCTGTCAACATTTAGTGAAAATGAGCATACGATGTTATACATCTCAACCAGAGTGGATCACTTTATTGCAGTGTTGGTAATTTAATAAGCACGCGTGCCAAAACTTTTAAAAGCGCTCCTCAGAAAAATAGCTTTCACTGGTCTTCCCTGCTTTATTCGTGCGCGTGCTAAGCCTTTTTCAGCTTTTTATATATTTTATGTAGCCCAGTGATGACCAAAATATATCCCACGGGAGAAGCTTTTTAGCTCTAAAAGCTCTATCTCTGAGCCAGTGATGACCAAACAGATCTCGCAGGAAAAGCGCACTTAGCTCTAAAACCTCCATGCTATCGTTATTTATATAAGCAGTCGGTGTAAGTCACAGTTGGCTACTTCAAAAAAATAATGTCAAAAAAATAATATCTCTCCATGGCTAACACGATTTAAAGCATAGACAACCAGCATATATCCCGCAAAGAATGCTCATAAAGTAATCCATAGATTATATCGACGCCTCGACCATGTTATACTAAGTCTGACTAAGTCTAAGTTGACTCAGCATGGTATGGTTTGAAGGCGTCAATATATGGGCTCTGACTGACTAAAAGCTCTCAGAAGCGAGTTGGCATTTCCCAAGCTTTAAGTCATGTTTTGATATGAAGTAGCTGGAATTGGCCCACTTGTAATTGTTGTAGTTCCAAAGCATTTTCTATGAGACCGAGCCATCGCTTTGTAAATTTTCCGAACAAGATGAAGCTCTACGAAGACTGCATTATTCGCGGAAATTGTAAAATTTCCACTTCAACCAAACGCTGTGCATTTAAAAAGTCAATTTAAAGACTAACTAATTCTAAAATGACACATATGATATATTTAGTACTTTTATTTAATATTTTATAAAACTGTGAAAGCACCAGCGAAAGCTTTCAAAGCTTATTGCTTATATCTCATTTGTGAAATTCTTTTAACAGGAGCCTTACGTGCGCATAACTCTTAATAACGAAATAGTTCTAAAAGCTCGCCAAAGCTTTGTAAATCTTCTAACAACAAGCTTTATAAAGCTTTGGGCTAACTATGTTTCTAAAAAAGTTGTCTAACTGTTATACTAATGAAATGAAAAAATTTTCTCTGCAATAATTAATCACCCTTACTTTTTCAATTAAATTTTTCCAGCGAATTTTGGTGCCGACAATAAGGCTGGCACATCGGGTGCTGTGCGCTCCGAACCGATTTCGTTGTCAGCGCTGGATCGTGACTGCTTTATTATACCGGTACATAGTGTCAGTCGCTTTCTGCCAGCGGGTATACCGGTGAGTCAATTAGCATGATGGATGTAGCGTAACTCAGTTTTCAGTACTCAATTCAAACTCTTTCGTGTTATTTAGTTACCCGCACCATCGGCCGATGGTAAAACCAATAGTCCACTCAGTATACTCGAGGTTTCCGATCCGAAGCTATGTATACTCGTACATTTGATGAGCCCATTGGAACCCATCGATCCAATGCTGGAGTCACCATTAGCACATCCATTGCTGAAGCAACGCGCCGTTGCAGCGGAACTCGTATCGGAGGTGCAGCAGGCGAATACGGCGGTGGGTGGCATGCTCTTGGCCAATATGGAGAAAAACGGTAAGTAAGGACCTGAAGGTAATTTAGTTATTAAGCAGTAAATGTTTAATTATATTTGGTTTTCTCAACAGCGGACTTCCCATTCATCTCTTACTATTTAATTAACACTACACAAACGGATCCATCGAACTTTTACTCGGGCATACGCGTTTCATCCCTGTCGAAATTCGAGCCGAAAGCACTAAAGTAAGTTTGCAAATCCAATCTCTATGTTTATGTTCTGGAGTTCTAAGGCCTTTTCGGAACTAAATTCTTGCATTTTTCAAACACCCCGTTTTAACTATGGGAGATAGGCGCGGTAATTGACCAAATAATCAACTTAATGTTGGCTCTGTTCAAAAGGTGTATATGGGTGTTTTGGTACAAATTGACGGGGTTCACACTTCATGCGTTTGATTTGTTTAAAATTTTTAGGGTTGATGCATAAACATATGTAAATAATAAATAAATATGAAATTTTAGCTTGATTAATGCATTTTTAAAAACGTTACAGCACAAAAACAAGAACAAATCGATTTAATAGTTTTCCTAATAAATTTTTCGAGAACGGGGCGAGGAAAAAATTTTAAAAACATCACACTTACACACATCAAAATTCTCTATGAAAAGAAATATTTTAACATTTTTTTTCTTTACAAAAAAAATAGTTTTGGAAAATATGCCATCTCAAAAAAAAAATTTTAAAAATCACAATGTTAGCTCTGAGTATTGGCATCCCCGCAAAACTAGAACGGCTGTGTAAAATTACGTTGAGCAATACCACCAGCTCCGTCAGAATAAGGAAGGACCTCCCCGAGCCGTTTGATACCAAACGAGGTTTCAAACAAGGTGACTCCCTTTCGTGTGATTTCTGTAATCTGATGTTGAAGAAGATAATAAGCTCCGCATAACTGAACCACACAATTCTTTACAAGAGCGTACAATTGCTGGCGTATGCCGACGACATCGATATTATCGGTAAAAACAAGGGCTACGTCTGTTCTGCCTTCTTGGGAATGGATAGAGAAGCAAAGCGAATGGGTCTGGTGGTGAACGAGGACAAAACGAAGTATCTCCTGTCATCACACAAACAGTCAGAGCATACGCGTCTTGGCACCCACGTCACTGTTGACAGTTACAAGTTTGAAAAAGTGGACGACTTCGATTAAACGCTTTGATAAGTTGGAGTGATATGAGGTGCAAACACTCCAGAATTTTAAAAGATATTCCAGCAGACTTCAGGCGCTTGGACCACACAGTCTGGCCAGCTGGACTGAGGAATCAATCATTCCCAAACAAGAATCCCCTGAAGAGGTGAATGGCAGGAGGATTCGTTCCTGAACTCGTACTCTCTTTCAGCAGCCATCTACACTTATGACTCCCAGTTAAATCTGAAGGTAGGAAGTGGGGAATACTCCGAAGAACTCTCACTTAACCTAAGTTTTCGTCTGCCGGATATCTGCAGCGGTTTTCACGCTGAACTAACAGTTATCAACGAAGCTACAAGATGGCCAGTCGATTCTCTTATTAATCTGCTGCAGTAGCTTTTTTTCCGGTAACTATGGTAACTAGGCAGCTATGAAGTAATCATGGAATTTAGACTTAATCCAAGTAGACAGGCAATGATTTGCGTCACTCATGTTGTATACCCAGTCCTTAAACTGTGTTGCGGATAAACTAGCAAGGAAAAGCATCTTACTGTCTATAATCAGTACTGCTCGTAATACGGGCATACAGCGATCTTTCTGCAAACTCTGGCTGGAGAATAACTTTATCGAGCCGGCAAATACGAAATGGTCTGCGAAGCTTACGTGCATAATAACAACACATATGTGGCTTAGTTGGATAAAAGTAATTTCGTCTTCTTCTCCGCTTGGAGATTTCACCGGGCACTGCTCAATGGGAACCCACGCTATTAGAACGAGTATGAAGTCAAACGATTACTGCAGTAATTGCCGTGATGTGAAATAAATCGAAAGGTTAGAGTAATACCTGTGCCACTACCCCGCCTTTTAGAGGGCTCATCGACGCTCGTTTTTCCTTTATTATTTTGAATGGCCGGCTGAACTGGATCCTGTGAGGATCTTCGGTTTCATGTACTTCATCAGAGTTTCAAATGGGTTTTGCTTCTAAAGTAAGAGGAGGGACGCATGGGGTCTCTAATATGCCATCAAACTGTGCCCATTTTGACCTAAGTGTGCCCTATTCCCGTGCTGACTAAGGGCAGCCAAGATAACCTAACCTGGTCTTACAAAAATCACATCCCATAAGTCCCTCATCATGCCAGTGCTGTATAATCACAACATCCGATGAGACGGCTCTTGTAGTATGCGAAGACCTACCGATCTTTTTGTGTACTTTGATTAGCTTTATCAGTTTTACGACGATATAGATATGTATATATTGGACACAAACACTCCAACCATGAAAGTATTCAACACAGTTCCCTCTGGCGGGTGTAGGGCAAGAGGAAGTTCTTTCCCTAGGATGGAAATACCTGATGGAGTTGGTATTTCCGCTGGGCATCAGTTGGCACAAAACACAAAACGACTGGCATGTTTTATTACATTCGGTCAGGTTCGATTAGTTGCTTAAAGCGGTACACATGAAGAACAACCCGAAAACGCACTTACTTTAACCGAGGCATAAATAGAGGGAGATACTATCGCTACACATTGTTGGAAAATCCTTGTTAAGTAAGAGCATTGATAAAGCTCTATATAGCTGCGTCCGAAATCGTTCGTTTGTTATACCATCCTCTTACCACGTTTGCCCTTAAAATTGTGTTAACTCTATTGTCCTTTGCTTCTTCGATCAAGAACAAAATATTTGGGTTTTTTGCAACTCAAGATACACAAGGAAATTATGAAACTGAACGTCTAAAACTGCCTAAATAATATTTAATCTCATTGCAAATACATTTTCATTATAATAGAGGATACAACTCCTGTCTGCCCTCGTTTGTAACTTGTCTGTCGTAATATCTATAATATTTAGATCTGTAAATATTAGCGCAAAGTACACTGTGTTCTACTTACAGTTCAATATAGTCCATTTAGCCAATAGTATTCATAAATGCATACATACAGACTTACAAAATCCCTGCATTGTGCTGACTTAATAATAGAGCCTTGCATTTTCAATATATTTTTATTCATTTATTTTTCTTCATTTTTTTTTGTAGATATACTGCCGCGCACACTCTAGACTTGTACAGCGAAGTGGCTGCCATATGCCGTCCGCCTTTGGTATTGGCGTCCAATGAAAATGGTAGTTTCAAGAAGACACAAACGCCAGCAACAGGCTACATAATCAGTGTGTTTAAGGTAGGTACAATATATAAGTACAATAGCGAAGGGAATATGTATGTGTGTGGGCGTCTAAATACAATAACCCAACAGGAACACCGTTAATTGCCAAAAGTCCTTTTTAAACTAACTAAAACAAGTTTCTAAAACTTTGAAAATATTGAAACTTTTGCAGAACTTCCAGAATGTGCAAAAAAATACTTTACTTCTTCTAGAGCGCGAGTTACCTTTTTACGCTCGTAGAATTAAATCTTAGCCATAGTGCAATTTTTAGAAAGTTCTAAATATTTGCTAGTCCTTTGGTCTGCAATTTTTCTTCTTCGTCTTCTTATTAGTCAGTATAACCGTTTTCGGTTTGACCAATTCTATGTATTTTTCTATCAAAAAAGGCCAGAAAGTACTTTTGCAAAGTTGCAGAAATAACATTCGGAAGTAAAAATTGCAAGGTGAAACTGCTAGTGATGGGCATGGGACTAAATATTCAATCCCGATCCCGAATTTTCGGAGCTTGCAAGTTTTATCGGAAATTTCGGGAAAGGATTTTGGTCCCGTCCCGCTCGCAAAATTGTTAAAGACCTTCCCGATACCGCCCATCCCGGCCATTTTGAAATCAGTGCCGTGGGTGCCGCGGGTCCCGATATCCCATCTCTAGTAACTGCAACTGAAATTACGCAAATCCCTTGCAAGAAATTATTTCAACCTGCTTGTGTTGCACTAGAAATTTTTGCCGTATCACGCGGTTTTCGGCGAATTTTTATAACATTATAAAAATGTGGCATCACTTATAAAAAAATATTTGTAATGTAATAAATTTATTCTCCTAATATGAGCTATTTAAATATTAAAGCATCAGACATTTTCTGGCTCCTCTCTGCGAATTTTAGCATTTTTAACAAATTTTTCAGATCAGTAATTTTGTTATCATTTTCTGCCATCCATGTAAATAGGCCAAAAGTAGTATCTGAAAGTTCGATTTTCACCGTTGTTTCAGTCCATCCGTGGTGCGTTTGAAGTGCCTCTCGGTCAGTTGGGCTGAAGTTGGGTACACAGGATCTCGTTTATAAACAAAAGTAGCGCATTTTCTTACAGGGTATACACATTGCCACAGATTTCCTGACTTGGATGTAGTTATGTATATGTACATATGTACTTGATTCTAAAATTTTTAAAGAATGTGAAACTGAATTACTTGTTGACGTTGATTGGTTATTTTCAACGGAAAATTACGCTGAAGATGCACAAATGCTGAAACCTAATTTGGCAGGAGTGGGCGCGAATTTTCTTCAAATTACATACACATGTACATACATATTTCCGACTCAATTACTTATACATTATTACTTTGTTTAATATTCACGTACTGGAAATATTTTTTTTTTATCGAACTATACTTTGTGTTTCAGGTTTTTGAAGGTGATGATGGTGAACGCTTCGAGAAAAATTGGTTGTACTGGACGGGAGCACGAATGCTATATCGGTGAGTGAAAAATTGATATTTTAGTTAGGGAAATTAATAAGTTATTTAGTGATATACAGTACCCTGGTTAAGTGACTACCGCCTAAATGATTCCTCCGAACGAACTGTACAATTGAGAGAGCCCTGGTCATTTGGTTTCCCATATTTCGGCTTTAGGCATAAATTATAGGGGTGGTAGCATTAAAATTCCGACTTTACTTTTTTTTACAACCCTAATATAAATATGTATGTACCTAGTTGCAGTACACATATTAAATGCAAATTAACCTTATTAATATTCAGAAGTCAAATATGTAGATGTTTCGAATAAACATAAAATTAACATAATTTCTCTCTTTTTCCACTCCCAAAAAGTTATCTGCCGCGCGCCGCTGGCCTACGTCGCATCGCACTGCACAAAAGTACTTCGCAACGAGGTGATAAAATGTATTTGCTGGTGTGCGAATGTGCTGACCTGCTCAAGGATATCTCTTCAGCTGCCTTTTTGATTCCTGCACTGCGAGCACGCCTCTGCGGCTACACAGGACTTTACAAGCCAATACAAGTATTCTAAGTAAATAAATAACAACAATAAAATATTGAATTTGAGACGCAAAGACAAAAAATGTAAACAGCCGCATGTGAATAATAAATAAAATATACAGTAAGTATATCAGTAGAAAAATTTTAGGACGACGAAAAGTAGAAACAAACAATTCTGGCGAATTAAATTAAAAAAAACTGTTATATTATATATAGAACACGAAATTAAAAGGCAAAAGTGTGGACTAAATTGAGCGAAAATTAGCAATAAAAACGCCAAATCTACAAAATGAAGTACACACTAACCCGAGGAACACCATGATTATAGCAAAAGTGAAAATTAATAGAAAAAAATTTAGTTTATAAGTAACAGTAATAGTAAATTAGCACCAAATCCATGGCAGCAATGAACTGTTTGAATGAGAAAAGTTGGCAATAAAGGTACTGTTAAAATAATGACACTTTTGAGCGTATATGTTTTACAAGAACTCAAAGCATATGTATGTTACACGTACATATGTACATAAAAGCATATTTTTGTATACCAAATAACTGTGCAATTATAAAATTTAAAATTAATAGGAATGACTAATGCGCGAAATTCTATGCATACAAATTTAAATTAATAATTCCTACAGTAGATATGTAGGTACTTAAAAATTTTTTATCGGCTTGAGCAAACCCTAATACATAAATATGATAAAATATTATCAATACACATAAATAAATAAAATGAATAAAACTACGGCTTTAGCAAACAATTAATGAACAATTTCATTATACTTATTAGATTAGAATTTAAGCACTGAAAGTGATATAAATATTTTATTACTCATATGAAATGAAATTTTTTCAATTGCAAAAAAGTGTACAAATTTGGAAATCTTATATTTCCCGTATGCCTAAATACTCAATGGGAACTGCGTAGATGAGAAACAGGTGGCAGAAATTAGTTTAAGTTATATGAAATATGTGTTTACCTTCACTGAACTTCCTTTTTTATTGCTTACTATCGAATTTCGAATTAATATGTTATAGAAATTTTAGTGCAGAATTATTATTATTTTGATTATTTTTATTTTTATTTTATTTTATTTTATATTAGGAACTGTCATTATTTTATTTTATTTCGTTGTATTTTATTTTATTTTACTGTATGTTATTTTATTTTATTTTATTTTATTTTATTTTATTTTATTTTATTTT